GTCGATGCACATGCGAAACGATCCATCTTTCTTCTTGACGAACAAGACCGATGCTCCCCATGGTGAGAAGCTTGGTCGAATGAATCCCTTCTTGAGAAGTTCATTAAGTTGACTGGAAAGTTCCTGCATCTCGGCTGGTGCCAAACGATAAGGAGATTTGGCTACTGGGGTAGCTCCTGGCACTAAGTCGATTCTGAACTCGACTTGGCGTTGCGGTGGTAAACCGGGAAGTTCTTCTGGGAATATGTCGGGAAAGTCGCGTACTTCTGGGATTTTCTGGATGTCCTTCAGTTCTTGACTGGTATCGACGACGTGTGCTAGGAATGCATGATATTCCTTTCGCAAGCACTTCTAGGCTTGAATGCACGAAATGATACGAAGGCTCGTACTAGGTTTATCACCGTAGATAATTAAGGTTTCGTTGTTAGGAAGGTTAAGACGAACTACTTTTTCAAAGCACAAGATGTCGGCGCGAAGAAGACTCAACCAATCCATACCGATGATAACGTCGAAACATTTAATTATGACTAGCATGAGATCTATCTTGAAAGTATGGCCATCTAAAGCTAAGGTACAACCTACATATATGCAGTTTGTACTCTCTGTTTTCCCGTTAGCCATTTCTACCGTGAATGAATTATCTAATGCACATGGTTTTTGTTTAAGCATGTGTGCAAATTATTGACTTACGAAACTTTTCTCGGCTCCACTATCGAAAAGTATGCAAGCATATGAGTTATCGAGGAGGAACGTACCAGTAACTATCGTAGGATCAGCTACTTCTTCCTCGTGACCTAGGGCCATAACTCTTCCCACTCCTCCATCCGTCCCTGCTTTAGGGCAGTTCCTCTTGTAGTGTCCTACTTCGCCACATCCGTAGCAAGCTTGACCCATACCGGTGTTAGGAATCTGGGCAGCTTGAGCTGTTGGAGTTTTGCAGTAACGGACGGTGTGTCCCTTCTTGTTGCAGTTAGAACACTGCATCTCCCTGTAAGGTCCGTGGTGGTGGAAGTTGCACTTGGTGCACTTCGGGAGAGTCCCAGCATATGTTTTTGTTGGTAAGAGGTTCGTAGGGGCAACAGGAGTCACTGTGGCAGAATTGATCGCCACAAGTTGTTGCTTATTGGAGGATCCTTGCGGAGTCCCTCTTTTCCTCTTATTCCACCCTTTCCTGTTGTGGTCGGGATTGGACTTTTGTGGTACGGGTATAGGGATTGATGGGTTCCGAGGTTTCCGGTGATCGATGAGAGATTGTGCTAGCTCTTTGGCACTATCGAAGGTAATAGGCCTGGAAGCTATAACACTTGACTGGATCTGGGGTGACAGCCCCCATATATATCTTTCTATCATTTTTCTCTGGGGAGCAACCATGTCAGGGCATAAGTTTGCCAGATCACAGAACCTATTCGTGTAGGTTCCTATGTCAGATCCAACCATTTGCAGGCTCCAGAGTTCCTGCTCGAGTTTTTGTATTTCTCCCCGAGGACAGTACTCTCTCATCAGCATGTCCTTCAAGTGTTCCCAGTTGATGGAATACGCCACCACCAGAGTCAGTTACTTAACATGGCCGTTCCACCATGTTAGTGCCCTATCAAAGAAGGTACAAGCTGCGAACTTGACCTTGTTGCCTTCTTGGCATCCGCAGATCTCGAAGACAGATTGCATCTTCTCGATCCACTACCTTAACACCATAACACCCCCAGTTCCATTGAAGCTGCAGGGTTTGGCGTTTGTGAAATCCTTGTAAGTGCATTCCCGAGGGTGTCCATGGCTTTCGCCGTGGTTCGAGGGAGGTGCACCTGTTCCCGATCCACTAGGGACAAGAGTGTTGATTGCTGACACAGCAGCTGCAACTGCTGCTGTGAAAGCCGCTTGAAACATGTTGGCATCAAAGGGGTTAGGTGGTAGAGGAGGTTGAGGTTGTGGTGGTGGAGGAGGCGGTGGTATTAGTGTTTCGTTGTTTGGATTACGCCTTGTACTTCTGCGTGGCGGCATCTTTAACTATACGTTTAAAATATGACAACATGGATAAGAATAAATGATTTATGAATGTGTCCCATGGACTAACTCCCCATAGTCCAACAACATAATGAATAGAATAACTAACTGAAAGTGACAAAATTTGGATAATAATTTCCATATGACTAGATATCTGTCAATAATACTGGAATTACAGATGTAACAAGTTCGGGAAAAATGGCCTAAAAGTAGGCCTTACATCAACCAAGATGGAAAATTTTGACAGAAATAAGACTAGATCAAGACCTAACAGGTCTAAGATTTATACAGATAGGAAATTAGCCCAAAGTTTTACATAAACTAGGTTATATCCAAAAGATGAGTCGACGAGCTTCTATCGGCGACGAGAGCTGCTTGCATGAGTCCTCGATCCCGAAAATAGACGTTCAATATCCCTTATACGCCTGTCCGACCTTGCTTGCTGAGCTTGAAGTTCTCTAACTTCTGCTCGGGTTTCAGCAAGTTCCCTCTGCAGATTTGCATTGCGGACCAGAGTCCTTTCATGAGTAGACTCTAGTTGGTGAATGTGGACAGTGTTAACACCAGAGTTGGCGTCAACTTCCAAAACTTGATGGATAGAAGCTTGAGCCATAATCGTGTTTCGAGAAATCCTACGCACCATGATTGGTAGGACTCTATCAGCAGAACCTCTTTCAGAGAGGTTGTAGAAACTTCGGTCTCCATTGTAGGGAATGGGTTGACCTTGTTCCTGACTCCATTCAGTCAAGTTAATAGCTCACAAGGGTGTGGGTCCTTGAAACACAGGGCGAGGGTTCAGGTTTGGGTTTTGAGTAGCTGGGGGTAGGTTATTGACTTCTGGCTCCGAGTCCGAACTATCGGAAAAGCCCTCATCATGGTGATCATCCAAAGGAATTGGGTGATCATCTTCTGGTTCTGCCTCTAGCCAACCAACATTGCCTTGGTTTGGGAAGTACGGATCGCCATGGTGAAATCCAGCCATCTTAATCTACGCGAGAAAAGGGATATAAGAAATAGTTTAAATAGACGAACTAACTAAGATAATTACAGTAAGATCAAATACCCATATGGTATTTCTTTATGGTTGTGTTGGTAAGTTTTTAAACTTGTTGCCACATCACAACCATTCTTGGGCATATGCTAATCACTCCTCGGACCAGCATAGTTGATCAGGATATGCTATTCCCAAGACTGACTATATATCCCCAGGCTCACTTGTGGGTTTTGAACAATAATTAACAATGACTTGATGTCATTTATAATATGCATTTCAAGGTAAAACAATTGATAACAATGCGTTTTTAAGATTTAAAACCATTTCATGCATCACATTTTGTAGTATGTGAAATCTGTTAAATGACAAACACAGTTATAAAATACATAACAATGATTTAATAACATGTTTGTTCCTACTTGTATTCCCCCCTTTAAAGCATTTAAAATCATTTAAAACATTGATTAGGGGTATGAACTCACCTATAGTTGGTGATTGGAATGAACTGAACGGTATAGGATGGCTAGGTGTCAAGCGAGGACTTATGCACACACTACGATCCTAATGAACATATAATAACACATATATGCACTCAATTAGACTCAAATGACTAATTGATAATGTTTAAGACATCCTAGACATAATAAACACTTTATATAAGTGTTTTAAGCCTTAAGGATTGCATCTAAGCTATTGTGGGACAGGGTATTTGTGTTTAGGGTTTCCAAAGGACCCTATATGAGAGTTTACTCTCCATAAACCATCACACATGGAGTTTACGGTTGTAAACTCTTGAGTTTACAGCCGTAAACTCCCAAACATGTGTGTTTGGTGTGTTTTGAAGTCCCAAATGCTTTCTAGAATTATTCTAACTTAGTGGCTAAGTCCTTGGAAGGGTTTAAGGTCTAGAAGTACTCCAATTAAGAGTCTACAGCCCTAAGGCCATTCCCCTTAGAGTTTACGGCCGTAAACTCTAAGTATGGTGGGTTTTTGTTGTTTTCAAGCCTCTTGCATTTGAAGGATATGTTCTAGGCAATTGTTTAAAGCAAATGGGGACCTTATGCACACTTTGGTGCCATTCTTTTGAGTTTACGGCCCAAGAGCATTCTCTTGGCCGTAAACTCACTTTGATGAGTGATTTTTATGTACTTTGGTTCTTCATTTTTGTGGGAAACAATTCCATGAAGGGGTCTAGGGCTTTAGGTGTCTTGAAAACACCCTTTTGTCCATTTCTATGGAGTTTATGGCCTAAGATTCACTTGGGCCATAAACTCACTTTTGTTTGTGTCTTTTGATGTGTTTAAGGCCTTATACTTCATGGGAAAATAGTCTAGATAAAAGCGTTAAGGTCTTAGAGTCCTTAAATCACCATTTTGAGCTTGAAAAGGGAGTTTACAGCCTAAGCAACTCTTGGCCGTGAACTCCCCAAACTTGGGTGATTTGTGGTTGTTTTCTTGTCCCTAACATGTATACATAAGCATCTAAGGCTTTATCATAACACAAGGGTCGGTTTTGGCTTCGTTTCGGGAGTTTACCGCCCAAGAACACCTTGGGGTGTAAACTCCTAGATCTCATGTTTTAGCCTTCTAAATCATGTTATAGACACATATAAAGCTTTCTAACATTACTATAAAGAGTTACTCACGTTTTGGTATAAAAACCTGAAGATCCGTCAGAGAGAAGATGGCTTTTCTCTAGTCGGAAATGTGAATAATGAATGAATTTGATTCAGAAATCTATTTATAGTCCTGAGATATTTTGGCAGAAAATATTTTTATTCCTGAAATGATCCCTAATAAAATAGAGTGTTGGAATAACAGTGTTGCACAAAACCCTAGTGCACCCACTCTCCTGATATTTCCTGAAGTATAAACCCTGAATTACTCAAACTTACGCAAAAGTCTGAAAATTAACTGTGACTGCTATAACTTCTATTGAAGTGAGATAGTTTGTACAGAATGGAAATTTCGGGTTGTCACATTATATCAAAGGACAAGTTGTTCCCAACATGCGGATGATTGAAACTCTAGATCAGAAAATTCATAACACTATTGAAGCCTGTCTATCTCCGATGAATCAGAAGATAGATGACTTCATACTATCCTTATCCAATCTAGAGTCCGTCTATGAAGCCAAATTGGATCATATGCAGAATCATGTTACTGCTTAAGACCATTATATCTCCACTCTTGAGAAGTCCATTGCTGAACTATCTAAAGCTTTTGCATCATCCTCCACCTCACTCTTTTAAGAGTTCAGTGAGCAAGTTCAACATCAACTGGATTCGTTAAGATCTAACATAGAAAATCTATCAAAATCCAATTATGAGAAAAACAATAGCTCATCAGGTGACATATCTTCCCTTCAGAAGACTGTTCAGTTGCTAGTCGATGAAGTCAAGGCTATCAAGCAAGAATTTTCCACTTCTGATCTATGTGCTCTCCAACAAAAGGTTTCATCAACTAATTCCAAACTTGAATTGATCTTAGCAAAGCTATCTGGTTCAAATGAGAGGCCACCTGAAGCAGAGAAGGAAAAGGTCCAAAAGACTAGATCAAGTCAGTCTTCTATGATACACCAAATTCCAAACTTACCACACGAGTTTGAGAAAAGGATATATGAGAAAATACAGTCACTTGACAAAATGGTTGCTAATGCACGACCAAAGACTCAACAGAACACAACAAAGATAGCTGAGAAAGACAAGGAACTAATTCGTCAACAAGGTATCAAAGATCCATCTCTAAAAGTTCTAAGAAGAAAAGATGTCCACTTCTCCAAACCTATCATCATATTGGAACCAACCACTCAATCAAAGCTTTCTCAAGATGATCCCAAGGATAAGGGAAAACATAAGATTATCTTCAAGTCTAAGAAGGAATTAGCTAAAGAAACTCAAATGAAGATAGATGAAGAATTAGCTAAGAAACTGAAGGGTAAGGAATTAAATTCTAAACAAGAGGTGGTTTGCAAAGGAAATCTTCAGAGATCTCGACTAAAGAAAGGACTACATGGGATGATGAGCAATTTAGAGTTTCTTCACCTAAAGTAACTATCTTATTTAACCATGATAGAGATTCCTATCAAAAGGTAAAGGTCATCAAACCTACAAATTCCTTCACACCTCCTTCAGACCTCACTAAAGAAAACTAGGATATTCCTGCACACCTGAATGGTATGAAGTTCAATTTATGACCAAGTGCAATTTATCCAGTTGAAGTTGATATAGACATTGAAGAGATAAAGAAAAGATTCTTCCTAAAGAAATCAATTCAAGTTGCCCCTGTATGGTAAAATTCCAAGATTGCTTCGATTAGAAAAATTGACATACAGACATTTAGAAAGATGCCATATGAATTCTTTCAAGGAAGAAGGAAAGATAACTCTAAATTCATGTCTTCTGAAGTTGATCTCCCTTAAATAAACCAAGATGATATCAGATCACCGATCATTTGGTTAAAACAAAGGGTGAGTGCAGATACAGATTATGCAGATGTTCTACAATGCGTAAGGCAATATGTGCAACACATGGTTATTGATTTCAGTGTTGCTTGGGAGATTGGATAGTTGGGAGAAAAGGAAGCTGAGGAGCCATATTGGATCTAAATATGGAGAATGATCCTGAGAACATTCTAAAGAAACAACACAGAGGTGTTGTATTCTCTTCTAAAGGTCGACTGAAATCCATGAGAATCTCCCAAAAACAACTATTCTCTTCTAAATTCATTAAAGGCATCATTGGTTTATTGAAGTGAACGGGGGTTCAAGATGAATCGCTGAGAGTGAAGATCATTGAAGAACTTACATGGTTTTTGAGTTTTCGGCAATGGTTAATAAACTTGAGAAACAAAGTTTAGATTATGTTTTTGTTTTGTTTTTTCCAAACATGTGAATGATGTTTCTACTACTAGTAATTTATCTTTTTGTTAAAGTTCATCTTTTATGTTATTATTTTTATTCCTACTTCTATTTTTAGTCCTTATTTCAGTAACCATCGCATAGGGGAACTGTTGGAAAATATTTGTATGTGATTGTCACTTGAAATAAGTTGAGTCCTTTTATATATCTCTCTAACAAACATTATCATAATGTTTCAGGTTGGAAAGATACTGAAGATTCAACAAGTGTTTGAAGAATCAGATGTTGGAGCAGTTGATGTACACATGGAGCACTTGCTGTTGACATGGATCACTTGCTGAAAGCTAGTTGGATCATCATAATATCAGATGGCATATCTAGATCATATGTGGAGCATCATGATGTTGATGGATCATCTATAATATTGATGGCTAGTCAAAAACATTCTTTGCTCATCCTCAACTCAAGTCAATGGATCAACATGATCACATTGATGGCTCAACAAGACTTCACATGGCACATCATGAACAATGAAAGCACATCCAAATGCTCAAAGGAACATGAATTTCGTCCATGGTACATCATGAACATGTACATCTTTAAGTTCAAGATAATATCCAACATTAAAGAAACTACTCAACATGATCAGCAACACTTCTGGAACTTGATGACATCTAAGAAGACAATTGAACAACATGATGCTCATGTTGCTCATTGCTTTTTCAATGTTGATAAAGAAGGTTCAATAATTATGAAGACTCATAATTTGGATGGAACCCTAATGGAATCTAACGGAATTGGAAAATTCAATCCATTTTCCGTTAAGTAAGGCAAAGGTGTTAACCGATGACTTAGTCATGATGACGTGTCAACACCTGATTGGTCAAGCCATGTCATGGGATTTTCCAAAGCCTATAAATATGCCCCTTGGGATCCATTATAAAGTTGCTCTTTTCTGATCGTTCCTGTTCATTCTGCACAATTGCTGCTTTGACTAGTCTACACAGAGCTATTTGAGAGTTTTAGTGTGTGTTTTATATTCAAACACTTGTAATTGAATCTTCATGAATACGAGACATATTTGAATCATTGATATTAAGTCAAAAAACATTTTTATATTAATTTGATTGATTCACAACTCTTTATTTTCCGCACTACTTGCCACTTGATGATTATGAAACTCTGATTCAGTATTTTATGTCGGAAACAAATCATCGAGGGGCCCAAATATATTTCCTTATTGTTAAGGAAAAATGAACAAATTACTTTTTCCATAGAGTCATACATTTTACTAACCAAATCATGCAATAAATTACTCTTCATAACACCAATTTACGAGATGTGTTTTGGTAAACCAATGTACAGCTAATTCATAAATTATGAACTATATATCTCTGCTTAAGAATAGTAGATATTATCGTATTAGAATTACTCATGATAAAATCCATGAAGTGATCTGTAAGTCGGGGTTTATCCAATACTTAAAATCTCTATTTTCAAAGTACTCATGAATATCTTAGCAATTCCAACTGCAATATCGTAACATCAATCAACAATCTACAATCAATTCATAACAATCTTAATTCACCACTTACTTCCAAAAGTGTGAGTAACTGTGCAATTTTGATTAATATTAAAATCACTTATGGAAGGCAACATGAAAAGTGAAACACAATAATTAATTAATTAATTATATCTTTAAACTTATTAAATATAAATAAATCCCTATTATTTAATCATCATAACAATTACAAATTTATTCATTGTATAATGTTTCGACTAATCAACTAACCACTTGAATTAGATAACATCAGTCATGCCTATGTTATGAACATGCGTATGATACATCTCTGTGGTCCTTCCTTTATGAACAGATCGGTTGGACATTATTCCAATGATGCTCAAATTCTTGTCCTTTATCTAAGTTGTAGCAGAATTCCATCTTTCCTTCATTGTTTTTGTGTGATGTCAAGGTTCTGAGCCTTTGATATTATTGAATGCTCCACTTGAACTTGTTTCTTAAAACAATTCCATGGTTATGAAGTCTCAGTTTTAAGGTACATTCCTTGAAGACTTCTCTTATATTAAAGTTCCCCACTTACATGTAAATACTATATGCTTATCCCCTTATGGAGACATTTCCATATTTCCATATGACAATCAATTCTAACCATGAATTATCTCAATCTAGAATGTGTCACTATGGTCCGTCCTAACAATAACATACTTCCAACTGTTCACAAGCAACCAATTCCTTGGTAAAACCTTAAAACATTCTTGACAGTTGTTGGACAACTTTAGTCGCATGCAATTCTAATCATTTTCATATAGTGTTAAAAGGATTTGAAAAGTAGAATAATCGAATGTTATAGTATATGTAATCGATCCTATATCCGAAGCATATGGGGCTCAACTCATTATTACAAGGGTATAATATCTATTCAAGTCCTTGCTATAATATTTCTGTATATAGAATATCCAATGCTGAAACATTTCAACATGCTAATTATATATGTCTTTTACTAACTTATATACAATCTAAACCTTTAAATTTGAAACAAAGTATGAGTGCCCTCTCCCTTATATCCGCTATAGCAAAACAATTCCTAACTTTTGCAACTTGCAAATTAGAGACATTTCTCCCTGTGGATAGTTTGTCAACATGCAATTCCAGCATAATGATTATGCTCCTCCTAGCTTTAGCATTTACTCAGTAATGAACTAGACATCTAAAAGTCAATACCCTTTGACTTTCTCATGGAAGTGTAGATTCATATTTTGCGATTGCTTCATCAAGCCTCTAATTAGGCTTCTTAAGCTTAGGCGCTTTGTCCAGATAGTGTAGGTCTTCAAACTCTTTCAAGACGTAACAAACATATCTCCTGAAAGTCTAAACAATTCATTATCATTCCTCACAATTTGAAATATGAAGAGGGATGCCATAATCATATTGTGAATTTGACAATGAAAATAATACAACCAATATCCATATTGATCTTTATTTCATCTTTAAAATCTATCAACGAAAGTATTTCCTCATAATCATTTTCATGAATTAGAGTGAAACCTTTTGCCACCTATATTTAAAGGTGCATACATTCCCATCTATGTAGATTTATCATTTCCAACCTATAGTGATAAGAAAAGGTTTAGGATAAACCAAATTCAAAATCAGATTTCCTTTATGGACTGAACTTCTTTATTTTTAATTTCTTGCCTTCTACCAGCTCAAGCGTCCACTAGTGCTTCCATGTTGTTAGCAGCTCATACGTATTGATCAAGATACTTTCACTGACAACTACACTTTTCCTCTTGCAGTTAAATGAAAACATAGAACTTATAAGCATTTCCAATTCAACGAGAAATGAACATAAATAAGAATGTGTCAATCAAACATGACATGTTATCAACCTCAGGTCATGTGCTAGTGATAACTAAAAGTATCATTGTCAGGTTACTTTTCAAAGATCCAGATCAACATGAATCCTAATACTCCTACTAACTTCTTGAGATGTGAGTTTTCACTCAAGGAAAATTCTTTAACGAGCTAAAACAAATATTTAAAAGGTTATGTGGAAACACTTCATAAAATAGGAGTCAGTTTACTTTTTGTTTCTCAATCATCGAAAAACATCATAACTTGAATTCTAAATATGATATAGTAAGAATACATTAGTACTACACATATTATAAGGTGCTATCATCATTCTTAGTTTGAATTCTGTTTCAAGATATGATTAATAGTTACTAGATCATGGATCTAAAACTAAATTTGGAATGAAGCATGACTCATCTATGATCGAACCATTTTTAATCATGTTTGATTCCTCTTCTTAGTCATACAATTACACTACAACGTTCTTAGAGGATCAATTATGATACAATTCAACAATTACTAAGATGATAAAAAAACATGATACTAAAGCACTCTCCTTTCTTTTCAGATTGGAGAACCTTTTATCATTCTGCTTAATTGATTCTTCTATTCTCTCTGCTATTCTTTGAATCTTTTCAAAGTATCAAAATTATGTTTAATCTTATTAACACAATCATATTTATTGAAAACTTCAATAAATCATGATGATTAGAGTTGTCATCCCTTGTTGTGGATCTAAAGAGTCCATAACAATATGTTCTAGATACATTAGTTCTTCACTTGCCTCATATAAATGTGTGAATAATAAATTAAGTCAT